GGTTGCCATGGGTCGGAGCATGTGATAACAACCGATGTTTTTATACTCTGTTGTCTCTTGTCAATATCTGTCCCCCTTCTCTTTTCTTCTGGAGGGATTTTCTGAAGCAAATGTGCTAATGAATTTCCCCTTACTTCTGTTACATTTAGAAAGATCAATACGCTTTTCTCCTGCTTGCTTTTCTTTATTTCAGAAAGGATTTCTAGATATATTTCCCAAATGTCAGAAGATTTTCTGCAACAATGGGAGATAAATGGGGCCAAGGTGGAAAAAAACCTGGCTTGTTCTTAACTCATTGTCCTCAAGCATATTTAGGAAAAAAAAGGAGGCCTTCAGTATTTCATGAAAATTTTTTAAAATCCTCCAATCCACATGCATTCAGCTTTTCAGTCATGTCAGTACTAGGTTCAGAATACCTTCTGTTCCTATGTAAACTGGTAACGGTTCCAGGCCGAGTCAGTCATTTTAAAAGTCACAATGATGGCGTTGACTCACTTGATGTCAAATGCAGGAAGTGTCAACAAAACTGCCAGCCGTTTCTTGTATCAAATAGACTGGCTAATTGGTATTGAATACAGAGCCGTATACCAAATGTATCTCTTGCTGATTTCTTAATAGGAAATTGCAATCCATGTGTAGGGTTGCAGTCAGAGGGTACAGATGCAAGCTGTGTTTTAGCTGTGCCATCTACTGGGTTAGGCCTGTGGACCCTTGGTGTTTCCTGCAGTCAGAGGGTACAGATGCAAGCTGTGCCGTCTACTAGGTTAGGCCTGTGGACCCTTGCTGTTTCTCTCCAGGAATGTTACTGCTATCTAGGGTTGCAGGAAATTAGAGTCCATACTAGAGATGGGGGTATTCGTATATGAATATCCCCCCACAGATGGAGATAACGAGGGTCTGACCCCCAGGGGGCCGGAGCCTCCTTATCTCCACCTGTGGGGGGATATTCGTATATGAATACCCCCACCTCTAGTCCATACCTATTCTGGCAACATGCTTCATGTTGACTAAGTGTGATTATGGCATGATGTCATGTTTCTTCCTTGAGTGTCATAAAACCGAGCATTTTCAGGGATTCTGCCAGCATTTGTTCAGATTATACAAAATAAAGAATTGCTCGCTTTGAGTCTTTACATGGTTAGCTTCGATGGGCAGGTATTTGAGTGTGGAGCAGAGTGAAGGTTTTTGTGAGAGACAGTGTGGTGCCCCTGGTGGGGATTTGGTCTTTTGTAGTCTTTGTTTCGCAGAAGGGAAAGAGAGCCTCACCCAACCTCAAGCTTGTCCTTCAACTGCCGAAAGAAGGGGCCCGTTTTGTGAAGTGTTACACCGATAAATGAGAAAAATGCTTTGTGGTTTTTGTCTTTCCCGTTACATAACTATTTTTAAATCTGTGATTTGAATATGTATCATCAACATCGTCATGTGCTGTCAAGTCAATACTGGCTCATGGCAACCCTTTCCAGGGTTTTCGAGGTAAAGTCTACTCAGATGTTGTTTACTGTTTGCTTCTTCTGGGGGCACCCTGGGACGGTCCAGTTTGCCCAAGACCACACAGCCTGGCTCATCTGCCTAGAGGCACAGTGGGGGATTGGAACTCCCAACCTCCACAGTCAGAGAGCTAACTCACTGAATTATCCAGCCAGCTGAATATGTATATAGGAGGAGAAAATATTCCTGTCTCTGTGTAGCCCTGGACATTAGAAAGATGAGAAGTTGCCATTTACTGAGAAAAAACCATTGAGTCTGTCTAAGCTTAGTACAGTGGGGTCTCGACTTAAGAACTTAATCCGTATTGGAAGGCAGTTCTCAGGTCGAAAAGTTCTTAAGTTGAATCTGCATTTCCCATAGGAATGCATTGAAAACCATTTAATCCGTATCTGCTCTTTTTGGCCATAGAAACTAATGAGAAGCTGCTATTCTGCCTTCTGCCACTAGAGGGGGATATTTTTTCCTTTTTTTCCTTTTAACCTAAGATGACTTAGCTTTAAAAAAAAGGAAAAAAAGAGTTCGTAACTCGAATCCAAGTTCGTAAGTCGAGTCCATATACTCCTATGAGAGCAGTTCGTAAGTCGAAACGTTCGTATGTCGAGCCGTTCGTAAGTCGAGACCCCACTGTAGTGTCAACACTGGCTGCCATTGACTCTCCTGGGTGTTAGAAAGGAGTTGTTCTCTGCTCTATCTGGAAATGGACGTGAGCCTTCTGTGGGCAAACTGTGTTTACTACTAATGAGCCTGTGGCATACAGCTCTGCTCTCACCTGTCTGTCACAGCTGGGCAGGGGAACATCAACCAATGAGAGGACGGAGGGTGGTGCAGAAGGGGGAGGAGCTGGATTATATAAGGTGTGTGTGATGTGTGAAAGGGAGAGTTTTTGAGGGTTTGAAAAGATGAGAGAAGTTGATTGAGAGAGTGAGATAGATCTGTGAGAGTTAGTCAGTGAGGGAAAAGTCTGTGTGATTTAGTAATTGAAAACCGTAATTAACAACTTGATTTACTACCTGTGATTCATTCTTTTTATTTTGTTAAATCAATAAACAACGTTTTGTTTGAAAGAAACACTTGTCCTTTTTGAATATTAAGGGTAAGTTGGTGGCAGCAGTTTGAAGAAGAGTAGTGAGCACTCTGGGAGGCCTGAGTTGACAGAGGCGTCAGAGTGGCCTGTTACAGAGCCACAGCCCTTTCCCAAATAGAAGCCAGTCCTTTTCAACACTAGTGATGGGCAAACTGTGTTTACTACTAATGAGCCGCAGCCCTTTCCCAAAGAGAAGCCAGTCCTTTTCAACACCAGTGAAAATTTCTGCTGCTTCAGGAGGCCTTTGGTCTCTCCACTGCTTTGAATTTCTTAGCTCTCTATTACTTTGTCTTTTTATTATTTGTTTTCATGTGTTGTTATAGTTTTCATACTTGACAGTTTTTGCTGTTTTATTGATAAGGAAGACACCTTGGGTAATTCCTCAGAATTTAAAAGGCAGAGTAGAAGTCCCTCTCCACTCCTGAAACAAGCAAACATTTCTGTTCAACATGACTTTCAGGTTTTCAGAAAATAGTTTAATGACTTCCAAAATGGTATCTGGCATCATGGCCTTGCATCTCAAATACTGTACAGTACATATGCAATGCCAACATTATTTTGCAACGAAAACACAGTCTAATGAATACTAGGGGTGGGGGAACCAATAGCTGGCATGACTGCCTTCCTGGTTTAAATGCTTTTTCACTTCGAAAATCTCAATGAACGTTTCTCATACCACTGCTTTGTCAGTTATCATCAAAACGATACCTCTATACGGAATGCATTGATTAAACAGATCTTCTGGTGCCTAGAAGTTGAGTCATGGCAACTGGACTGAATCTTCACAGATAGATCTTCTGGTGCTTCGGGAGATGAATATTGGAAAGAAACAATAACCAAAAAGCAGAGGTGTTGCATATAATCCTGTGTTATTTACAGTTCTTTTATATATATATATCACAGTAAGTCAATGAAGATTTAGAGCTTAGTCAGTCCCTAGCACAAAACTGGGTCCTTTTTGCCATTTCTGTAGCAGCAACATCTCAGCTAAAGAGTCAAGGCACTTCAAGAACCAGTCCGGGATTTTTAAGGCACATGCTGTTGTTGTATTAGGCAAGTGAATTTCCCACAGCACCAGTACTTTTCCCTTGTGCTTGACATTCCTCCATATGGTGGCCTAAGCTCAAGTCTAAAAGATACAGCTCTGTCTCTGTATGGCAAGCTTGCAAGTATCCACTTCCTTGTTCCTCTGTGGCAAGGGCCTGGTCCAGAAGTGCAACAGGAGAAATGGAGTGTGATTGTTCCAAACTGCTGAGGTACGCTTCCTCTTTTTGTAAGGACCCCACTCTTTAAAAACATAAAGCAAATTTTAGAAAACAAAACAAAACAAAAATCTATAACATCCGAGGGTAGCCTGGCTCAATGCACTTACTGTTTTGCTGTTTTCTACTTTGGTCTAACCTTGAGATTACGAGCGCATGCATCAAGGACGTGTTTTGCTGTTTTCTACTTGCATGAGATGTTTTGTGGATTCAAAAGTATTCAAAAATATGATTTCCCCATACATTCATTCCTGAAATGGTACAGTCTCTAACATTTACCATGTGGGCAGTCTGGACATGAATCTTGCCTCCACAGAAACACATTATTCCCCATAGGCTAAATTACAGATTCAGGCCTTGGTAGCCAGATGGGTGGTATAGAAACTGAAAGAATGAACAAATTAATTAATTAATTAATATCCCCCCCCTTTGGTTGAGGGTAAGTTGCAAAATGACTTCCATTGGCATGCGGGAGCAGGCGGGCTAATTAATTTTAACTTTTAATTTAAAAAAGCAATAGGCATCACTTTTGACTCTTTAAAAGCTGTAAATTCTTGACAGTTTAGCCGAGATCCGTACAGCATGGATTGAGTGCACAAATCAAGGCAATGCTATGATGTGGTTGAACGATCATAAGTCTACAGTTGCAATATGTTTAGAACGGGGTAACTGACTGATAACTGCACAAAGCAGAGGCTGTACTCTGAGAAAGTGAGTATATCAGTGACAGAGAAGGTGCGGTGCTTCTTTCGGTTAATGGAAAAGCTGTGAAGAAAGAGCAGGCTTACAAGTGAGCCATCAGCGGGGCGTCTGGAGAAAGGAAGATGGTTCCTGATCAGCACAGTGTCTCTTCTCACGGTTCACACGCTTTATTGGACTTAGAAATTTAGTATCATTTGCGTCCTGCATTTGTCAGTCTCCTTGCTAAACATGTGGATGGCAGAAACATGTGTACCTGAAGCCTATCCTCTTTTCTGTCGCATGTGAGGGATCCAGTGATCTTCAGCTTTGTGATCTTCGGCTCTTCTTTGCCACTCCTCCTCGTTCTTGTTGGGGGATTTTTAAGGAGCAATGGGCAGTTTTGTTTTCTTTCTGGGATGTGACTGATGTTGCGTTTTGTCTCTCTCCCCCTTCTCTCTCCCGTCTCCTGCCTCCCCACTCCGTAGATGCAGAAAATGGCATAGCAACGGATCCAGCCTTCCACCACCCTGGAGCCCCTCCGTGCGCTGCAGTTGGGCTGATGTGAAGCTTTTGTTCTGGACTCGAGGAGCTTGCCCACTGCTTGTCCCGAAAGCCATTCTCTCCTAATTCATGAGCCAGCAGGATGTGGTCGCCGTGCTTTCAGAACGCCTTCTCATAGCTGCATACAAAGGGCAAGTGGATAATGTTGTACAGCTTATCAACAAGGGTGCCAAGGTAGCCGTTACCAAGGTAACAGGAGAAAAACTCCTTACAAATGCACTAACCTCACTCCTGAACCATTCTCCGTGAGAAATGTCCTTTTGGCTCTGGAAATGTAATTGTTCCTGGAAGTGGTGTGATTGCAAGGGGGTGCTTCTCCTCCCCACAAATTCCTTGGGGAAGTTGCATTTAAATGTGAAATAATTTTCTCCCTTTTCTGCTGTTCTTGTTTCCCCAAGGAAGAATAAGCAAATGGTTTCAGCTAATAAATGTGCAGAGTTGAAGGGAGAAACTGTTGCACTTCTTTTTCCCCTTCAGAGTATACATTGCATTTTGCATTGGCAAAATTGATTGCTGTAAAGGGAAGAAAAGTCAAAATGTACTTCTTGGAGACTTGGAAGGAAACAAAATACCCTAAGTATGCTTCAAAATGAAAAGGAGTTTCCTCTTTGTCTTGGGAATGTTGTTTCATTTGTGTTTTGGGGCTAATTCTTTAATGCAGGAATGGAAAACGTGTAGACCTCCAGAACCAGTTGGATTGCAACTCCCATCATCTTTCACATTTTTTCCTATTGGCTAGGGCTGATGGGACTTGCAGTCCTTTAGCACTTGGAAGGGCTGGTGGCATGCAAGATAGTTCTCATGTATGTTGTCCCTATGATTCTTTAAAGTCGAGATTTTAAAGTATGTGTGTGTGAGAGAGAGGGAGAAAGAGACAGACAGGTACAGCGAGAGATGTTAGACTCACCAAACTTTGAAATCAGACTTTCAAAAGGCTTTCATATTTCATGAAAACCTTGTTTAAAATTAAATAATTTCCTAGAATCTTTTAATATCTGGAAACTGAAAACGCCAGTGTCTGAATCTTGAAAGAAGAGGCTTTATATTTTATTTTGCTCTCCCACCAGGGAGAGAGAGTGGGGTGCTTATCTTCTGTTCTGCCAAGAGCTAGCAATTTAAACACCCACTGCGCCTTTTGTTACTTGGGCATAGGTGGCATGAAAATAGGTGGCAATCAACTGGCTTTAACAGTAGGCTTTCCCTTGGCATTCTAGACACCCTTTTCCCCCCTCTAAGGGTATTTTTTTCAAAACAAATCTAATGATCATCTCCAAATTGTTCATTTAACTCTGATTCTCAGAACAAATGGTCCCTGTTGCTATCCGTAGTGGCTAGTGCAGAAGGGGGGGGGGAAGAAAACAGTCTCTCCCTATTCGCATTCTTTTATCCTTCCTTCCTATGAACCTATACTGCACTTCATGTAACATTTGAGACAGTGGACCACTTCAGACTTTTAAATGTACGTATGCTGAAAACATGTCGGGTGCCTGCGTAAGGCTGTAAGGAGTGGCTGCAGAACTGATGTTCATAACCATGTGCATCATATAAAAGTTGAGGCCACGTTTTGTAGTAAATCTGTTAAACCTCTCAGTACGAAGTGAGTCTTGTATTTTGAGTGGCAGACTCTGGCTCTGCCTTAATGTAAGCAAATCTCCTGGAACAGAATTAGAATGAAATTCCAGATGTGGGCCCTGCCAGAGTTCTTCAGAGCAAATGCACTATGACCTGATGGCATTTGGAACTGTTTCTGGTTTTACTTTCTCAAGTTCCTGGACGAGCTGGATCTGTGTGGATCTGGAATGGCTGGATTTAGGCACACATGGTTTGTTCTCTGTGTTTCAATTATTCTTTTATGTTAAGGGTCTACCAATGCAAGCTTTGCATGGCTTTTTAATTTTAAGAAGCAGGATGATCTCTCTCTCTCTCTCTCTCTCTCTCTCTCTCTCTCTCTCTCTCTATCTATCTATCTATCTCTCTCTCTCTCTCTCTCTATCCTTTTGAGAGAGGGAGGGAGGGAGGGAGGGAGGGGGGAGGTTGACATGACACTCCTGAATATAAAAAATGAAAAGAAAAAAGGAATGTATGTCTTTTTGTAAGGCAGCTAATGTTAGGAAGCTTTGAGAGGTTGGTTTGACCAGCAAAAATCAATGTGAACAAGCTTTTGATGTGAACAGGAAAGTGGGGTGTGGATCATGGAAGATGAACCAGTGTATCTGTTCTCAGGGAAGGTCACACACCAGTACACCTGAAGTGTGGTCATTGGTTGCCACTGTGCCACCATTTAAAGGCTCGTTAATGTCAGATACATAGTACAAAAGTGCCCTTAAAAGTTGTAGGGTTAGAATGAAACACTTCCCGTGTCCTACCCATATTGAATACCTGTGAAAAACTGAAGTTTCTTGGTTGTGTGTTATTCAAACCTTTTTCTTACAGTGTGGCACCACATGCAGCTCAGTGAGGTGCTTATGGCGTTCCTTTTTGAAGCATGAGACCCCCTAGGGATTGCTGGATCACAGGTTAAGAACCTCTGACCTAGAGGGAGAATCAAAGCCAGGTACTGAGAAATGTGCTACGAAGCATCCCCAAATTGCAGGGCCTCCTGCACTGGGCTTGATTTACAGTACACTTGCCAGGAGGAGTCACCACCTGATGGCTTTTTTTTTAAAGGCATTTGGTACTTCTGCAGTTGCATGATGTTCACTGCCCTCCCACTTGGTGATCCTGCTTGTTAATGTCTAGTGTACACATGCCTGTCATGTCAGCACAGCGTGTCCTGCAAAAACATTGTGGTTACAGAAAAAAGAGCCCTGATGGTCCCTATCACAATAGTGATTTCACTGTTGTTGCTTTCATCTGACTTTCCTTTGGGATTTCAGACATCACAGACTAGCTTGCTCTAGATTAACAGATTAACAGGGAAAGCAACACATGCTTTCTTTACACTTGGTTTTATATGTGTTGTTTGTTTGGGCAGGGAGGGCTAAAAGAGATTATAATATATTCCATTAAAACTGGGCAGTGGAGGTGGGAGTAATTGAAATAGGCTTTATCTGATGGTCTCAGCAATGGTTGTTTTGAGACGTGCCTTCTGGTAAGTTTTAAACACAGTTCTTGCTTTAAAGCTTGATCAGTTCAGGTGTGTGAGGGGAGAAGAGGAAATTACTTTTTGTAACATCTGTGTTTATTCACTATGGTGGCCTGTTGGCCTTTAGTTTATCATGGTGATACCTGGGGCATAGCCTATAAGCCAGACTGTTGATATAAAAGAACAATAACATAAATACTGAAATAAAAACTACACGATTATGGTATGTTCAATCATTGGTCAGACCTCTGTATCTTCTGTTGCAGTTGAATAATCATTGTGGTGCATCACTAGCTTGGGTTTTCCTTCCATTTTGCAAAATTCCAAGGCCACCCTGTTGCAGCACAGTGATATTTTCTTGTAAGCTGTTATCATAATGAAGAATATTGTCATTTAAGGGAATTTAATGTCAATATCAATGGAAGCAAAACAAAAGTATTGTAGCATTTTTAAAGCTAGCTGATTTAATTCAATGTGAGTGTATGTATCTGAAGCACATGTGTGCACTCTTGTGTATCATGTGTCTCGGGAGGTAAAGGTAAAGGTTCCCCTTGACAATTTTTGTCCAGTCGTGTTCGACTCTAAGGGGCGGTGCTCATCCCCATTTCCAAGCCATACAGCCAGCGTTTTGTCCGAAGACAATCTTCCATGGTCACATGGCCAGTGCGACTTAGACACGGAACGCTATTACCTTCCCACCGAGGTGGTCCCTATTTATCTATTTGCATATGCATGCTTTCGAACCGCTAGGTTGGCAGGAACTGGGACAAGCGACGGGCGCTCACTCCGTCGCGTGGATTCGATCTTACGACTGCTGGTCTTCTGACCCTGCAGCACAGGCTTCTGCGGTTTAGCCCACAGCGCCACCACGTCCCTATGTGTCTCAGGAAGTGGATCATAATTCACAAGAACTCACAGTGGAATAAATCTGTTAGTCTTAAAGGTGTCATGCTACATTACTTTTGTTTTTGTTCTATTTTTATTGTTGAAACAGACTACCATGACTACCTCTTTAAAAAAAGTGTTATGTCCTTATGTGTGTGTGTACATTTAAAAAAGTGAACAGTCAGTCCTAGTGGTGCCATGTAACTGGCCAATTTCCATTAAAGAAACGTGCCTTGGGAAGCACAGAGATTCTCTCTGTCTCTCGGGGTGAGACTAGACAGCACATTCAGTGCGGTTTTTTGAACAGGTGCTCCCTCAAGTTCTGAAAGACCTCTGTGTGTCACAACGTATGATTTTCCCAATCTGTACATCTTTCATTTAGTGTGTGTTGCTTTGTGATTGGTCACTGGGCAGAGAATAGGGACATAATTTACAAGTCTGATTGCAGGTATCTGTGAGGAAATTCCATTGTTGGAAGGAAAGGTCTGGGGTGGGGGGAGTCAATCAGACAAATAAAAGGAATAGATATTACCCTTAACATCTAACTGAGAATGACATCCTTGGCTTGTTCTTCCCATTCACTCCCTGAGGCAGGGTCAGATCAAAACACAATTTTTTTCTTGGGGAAGTTGTCGAAGAGTGTTAGTCTGTGCAAGAATTATAGGTTAAAACAAAATAAAAATAAAAATAGAAGAACAAATGAAAAGGACAAAAAACGTGGTGGCACCTTAAAGACTAACTGTTACATTTTAATGTGAACTTTTGTGGACAAGTCCACTTCCTCAGAAGAAGGAAGTGCCTTGTTCTGGTCTGTCTCCATTGAAAGTCCTGGGTGTAGCTTCTGCAGTTGGGTCCTTGGGAGTTCTGGGTAATTAGTTCAGGCTACCCTTTATTCCTTTCTCTTTTCTAATATGAAAGTAGTTTGAGAAATGGAGATCTGTGTAAGAACATAAGAAAAGAATAGTCGTGCTGGATCAGATCAAAAGCTTAGCTATTAAGCATTTGGTTCACACAGTGGGCAACTTGGTGCTTATGGGAAACCAGCAATCAGGAAATCATGTGCATCATGTCAGCTAGAGATACTGGAGCTATGCATTGCCATGAGGAGGAGGAGCCCCTGTTGTCTTCTTCTCCTGCTTCCTCCAGGAAGCACCCATAGCTTTGATATTGCTCTTCATGCTAATATCAGGCTAAGTGGCCAATTATTTCCCTTTGGAAG